AACAAAATTGAAAAAAGTGAAGGGGGTCTGAATACTTTCTGAATGCACTGTAGCATAGCAGGCACACTGACACTATTTTTTTAAATTGACATAGGCTGTAAAACCAATTTACTTCATTCTGAAGACCACTTCAAATGATAAATTCTTGAACAAACAAGACAATATTACATGTACAATCTATCATTCTGAATGAGAGTCACACAGGCAGGTTTACCACTGCATGCTACAAAGCTATGATCGTCTGCTGCTTCTCAGCCACGTAACACACGGCTCTATAGAATGTGGATCATTTCAGAACCTCCAGGAACCTCCTGTATAATTCCCCAGTCATGAAGAGCACCCCCACCCCAAATTTTGCTTTTTTAATCCTTTAACAACTCTTACATTCTCCTGATCAATAGAAGAGGAACATTTACACCCTGTCTTGTTTCCATATGGAGTTTGAGGCAGCACATACATAAGACTGGATACATTGCCTGGTGTCAGATTTAAATATGTTTTGAGAAAAGCAGCTCTACAGCCTATTTTGAGATGAGGCCTAAGTAGATATCCTTTTTGGACCCTTTACTACTGTTCTAGCAAACTGGAATGAAGTGCTGGTCACTGTTTTCAGATTACTTTTATTTTGACCATTCTGTGCAGGAAATTACAGGGTAGAATCAAAGGGTTAAGCCAGTGTTGTCCAAACTTCGCCACTTTAAGATGAGTGGACTTCAACTGGCTGGGGAATTGTGGCCAAGTTTGGACAACACTGGGTTAAGCCTTTATGCATGTGCGGTTTTATATTTCTCTTACACTGTCAATAATGCTTCTGGTTCAAAGGCAAAAAAATGCAGGGTCATGCTCCAAGGCACCTACTTGACCTCAGATCTGAAGCGATGCCCAGCTCTATTTGATATAATCAGTGTAATCTTAGGTGTGAAATAAAAAGCTACAAATTTAACTGATATGCTAATAAAGACTTATGCTGTACAAATTAAAACTGCAAGTACCTTCTCTGATTTTACTTCAATAAAACTTAGATTGTTATTCCACCTCTATGTATTCTTCTTTCCATCATGTCCTTGCCCCACAAAAGAATAGCAATACTGCTAGAGTATTTTATTAGTGCAATAAAAGTAAAAATAGGCATAAAATTAAAGAGCTGAAACTGTTTTTATTAGATATCTAAATGTGATTTACATTAAATGAACTGTAGTATCTTACAAAGAAATGTAACCCAACACATTTTGTGTTGATGTGTGCCTGAGCATATTCAAAGAATTTGTTCACTCTGCATTTCTAGGACTAATGTAGTAGATTCTACTACTACTAAGGTTATAGTAATAGTATTGAGTTATTTTCTAGATTTACCATCTCACCCATCTTATATGTTTTATTTCACTACTTGTGTTTATGAGGCTGCCTTTAATAAGTAAAATACTCAATTGATGTAGTTGATGATGGAACCACAGATACCTGTATACTTCTTTGGAGAGTCAGGGTTTGATGTTCTTTCCACAAATACTGCACAGAAAAAGAGATGGATACATCTCTAGAACCAATATCCTGGAGGCAGTTTATTCCAGCTTCCCATAGCATGGTAACTTACAAATATATTGTGAATGCAACTTCAAGGATTCTCTTCAAGCATGGCCAAACAATCTGGGCTGAAACTCTGGGAGGGTCTTTAGTCCTCTCTATCAGACCATAATAGGGACAGGAATTTAGGTTGCTAAGCGATTTGGTCGTTATGCAAATTGGAGCTGATTTTAGGACCTTTTTTACAATGGTTATTAAGTGAATCATGTGGTCTTTAAGTGAATCCAGCTTCCCCAGTGGACATTCGCCTAACAACCATGCGATTTGCTTAACGACCATAATAAAAAACATTGCAAATCACATGACCACGGGCTGGTAAAGCACTTTCCCAAGGCCACTGTAACACCAGACAGTTGTTAAATAGTCATTAAGCGAGGACTACCTGTACGCTAGTATCATGAGATTTCAGTCTTCTTGCGTGAGATCTTGAGAGATAAGATCATCAAAAACTTTCAAGCTTTTGCAGTCTTGAAAGATCTGATCATTTTTATGTGAAAGTTTATACCCTTGGGCCACTGTACAAGATCTTTTGATGGTGCCCAGCACATGAAGATGTTACCAATTTCTGCTTTATCTATACCCAGATGATATGGAAACAACAGTAGCAGATCATTATCATTTACTCAAGATAGGTATGTGCATGAAATGAACTCTGAGTAAGTGATATCTACAAAGGGGGGAAAGAAAGCTCTATCTTGCATCTTCACAAGTCCTGTTAATTATTTAACATGCCTGTATTATTGTTCTTCTTTATCTTCTTCACTTGTACTTTTGATATAGCACCCAAGGCAGAGTGAGAATGCTGACCTATGAAGTCAGACAGAACTAATTTCCCAGACTGGGTTGGATATTTCGTTTTCATAAGACCTTTAAATACTGGCTGACAGAGCAAGTATTTAAGCTGCTTCTTCATCCCCTTCAACATCTTATGCTTCTCGCTCTCTTCTTGCTCACTTAACTGTCCTCCTATAGTTAAAAGAGCAGAATAACACATAAAAAGAAAAGGCCAAGTTCATTAATGAAGCCACAATCTGAATGATTAAAAATAACCCAGCCCTCAAGTACAAACATGTAGTGTCCTTTCAAGTTATATATAACCCATATAAATTGGCAGGGCTTGTAGCTCAGGACTCAGGTGTATAATTATCTAATTTGACATCCTAGTTTCAATTTTTTCCATCCCATATGGGCTGTATCTGAAGTTACTTCTAAGTATTTTCTTCACCCAATTAGAGGATGCCCAGAACACAATGGTAGGGCACATATTTTTCATGTAGATGGTTTCAAGTTCAATCAAGCTTCTCTAGTCACAAGGATCTCTGATAATGGGGTCAGAAAAGACCAATGCCTCAAATCTGGTGTGCTAGTGGCAGTCAGAGAAGACAATGTTGGGCTAGATGGGCAGACAGATGAACTTATACAAGTCAATAACATGTATTAACATTCATGTGTCCTTTGTATCTATTATTCTGGGAAATATTCAGAGCTGAGTCTGCCTATCTATTTTATAAGGCAGGGACGAGCAGCATGTTTGAGAGATGGGGGGACACAACTCAGCCTCCTAATTTTCCAGAGGTCTGCAGGAGACTTCCCAACTTTTCAGAGGACTGATGGTAACATGACTATCAGTAGAATGGCAGGCCTTTAAGAGGCAAAGTGTCTCCGTTTCAATCCATAAAATCTCATAAAGTGGTCTAAATATCATGGTGCTGCAATCTGCCTGTAAGATAGTTGAATTTTGGTAACATAATTTCCATCCATTTCTTTCTTTCTTTCTCCATGTTAACAGTGCAAATAGAAGCAGTTTGCCTCCCAGCAACCTCCCGCTCCCATTAGCACCCTTATTTTTGGAGAAAAAAATGATGAAATATTGCACCATGAATATGTAGTTTTGCCACTGAATGTTGGTGATATGATCTAAATGTTCTAAAGGGGGTTTCAAATGGGGGTCTTGTGTGGTGCACATAGCCTGTCTCCCCATTATAAGACAAATGAAGCGTTGCAAATAATTTTTCTACTGTTGCTGGAGCTGCTGTCTGAAATGTAGTGATGCCCTTTCTTGCCAATTTAAGGTAGGAAATGTATTAACATTTTAGTTAAGTCCTAAAATAGCTTGACATTGTATTGTAACATAACCTCCCCCACCCCAAAGCTCTTCCTAAAAGAACAAGGAGGGGGAAAGAAAATTTTGATCCTGTTAACTGCATGATACACTCAAACAAACTTGGAATTATTGCTGTCCCCACTGCAGCTCTTTTCCTCTCCAGAGTCTTAACTCCAGGATACAATCACCAAAGGCTGCCCATCTCCTGAATACCTAAATCATTCTTATCAAGTTGGAATGGAGTCTGCAGCTGAAAGGTTCTTCCCTGACCCAAAACAGCTGAATGTACTTTAGACCAAAAGAGAGACCATGACCACATGGGCATCTTCCAAAATGGGAGCAAATGATATCACAAAGTATGCATAATTTGTGAGATGACATCATGATGCAACCAGCACTTTCAGGCATGTGGGCGTACCCAGTGATTGCATCCTGGCTAAGAGAGAGGACATCTTTTTGGATACAGCCCAAACCCTACTTGCCTATTAGCTCATCATCATCCAGATCAAGTTCAAGTGCTTCTGCAGCTTGCTGGAGCCATGAGTTTTGGTGCTTGGCTCGGCTGTTGAAATACTCAACCTTCTCAATCTGTCTTGCCAAATTCACCCTCTCCTGCAATCAAGGAAAAAAGAGTTACTCGGCTATCAAGTTAGGTGCATGTGTGAGTCATGCAGGGACAGAAATTAGGCACATAATGCAAAAGCATTCTAAAGGTCAGTAGAGATGGCTGAAATAGCAACATGGAAAAGCTAGCAAAGTACACTCTGCATAACATGTGTATCTGTTCTGTATTATTATATAAGATGGAGTGAAACAGTAGTTTGTGAGTCCCAGTTGTGTAATGACCTACATTATGGCTGAACAAAACTAGCAGGTGGATTATGGGACAGTCTGAAATTGTATCTAAATTTTACAACTACAGGTCTATTATAAGGCTTACTGATCATATAGAAACCTATAAAATATCTTTGAAGAATTAAAGTTTAAATTGCAGTATGTATTTTTCTTTCAAAAGGTAATTAAATGGTTAAAATGGCAAAGTATGTGAAAAGCAAGGAGATTTAGACCCAATGAAACTGACTGCCAATCAATGCAGAGTAAACTAAAAAGCTTCTTTATATCTTGATTGAGTAACTAGATACAATGATGGCTCCTAGCTTAGAAAGCTTTTTACATGATAATTAGATCAATGCTTGCAGAGGATAGCTCTATCAATGACTAACTGCTACAATACTGGAATCACCAGAAACAATGTACCCTGAATATCAGACACTAAGGACAAACAAAATGCCATTAGCTTCTTACTCTTCAGCTGTATTATGTGAGCTTTTAGAAGCATCTGCCTGATCACTGCTGGAAAAAGCATGTTGGGTATCATGGATTTCAATGAATCCAGTCAATGCAATACACATACAATAATAAACTATGAAGTCACAATGAACACAACAAAAACATGTGCATATATAGTATTCTGACTATATTTTTTGTTTTTCATAAGGCACTGATATTCCCATAGTAAATATTCACATACCCTCCAGTAGTTTAACAAGTGTATGTGTGTGTATACATATGTGTGTGTATGTATACATTGTGGAATCCGGCAGCATTTAAACTGAATGAAATCAATAAACTCTTGGTATATGATATGGGATCATCACTTGGCAGTGTACACCCAATTTCCACTAGAAGTGGGAAAGCCAAATATAATATTGAATGACTTAATGAAAAATATTACATTTTTAGAGGTGGAAAATTTGCTAGTTAGAAGCTTGATTTCCATGATGAAATAGAATAGAATCTCCAATAGGGGCTAGCTAACATGAAAAGTAGATACATAGAGACTTGAAAATCATATTTAAAGAGTGCTCATCAATAGTTCTTCATCAAACTGAAATGAGGCATTGAGAGGGGTGTCACAAGATTCAGTCCTATGCCCACTACTTTTCAACTTTTTTACTGATTAGTTGAACAAATACATGGAGAAACTGCTTATCAGATCTGCAGATGACACAACATTGGGTGGTATACCTAATATTCCAGAAGAGACAATCATGACAGGCAGAAGAAATGGTCTGAAAATGATATACTGAAATAGAACTGTGACATATGCAAAGGTTTTTTCCCACTTAGGAACAGAAATCAAATGTACAGAATAAGATGTGAAATATCTGGCATGATAATTATACATGTGAAAAAGATCTTGAAACAGTATCTGACTGCAAACTGAGTATGAATTTGTAGTGTAATGAGATGGAGGGTGAGCCAAAGAAGACAGAGGCATCTTTGGAGCAGCATTTCAATAGACTTGTAGAACAAAGGATGAATCCAACGGCCTGCCACAGACTCAGTTTCAGATTTTCTCTTACAACCTTAGAAGCAGATTCAGGATCACAGGCCAAGGCCTGTAGAAGAACTCACAAAAATAAATTACAATATCATCAGTCTAAGTGACACAAGGGTATCAGTTAAAAAAATGCAACAAATGGCACAATAATGCCAATGAAATACACATTTGTGCAGGCAAAGACCCACACACAGATAAAATTGGCTTCATTATTGCCAACCAACATGCACCAAAATTAACAGTCAGTACAACTAGTCTGTCCATGTCATTTAATCCTCAAACTGAAGATAAAAGGCAGAAACAACCTGCTACTTATCATTCAATGCTATGTCCTCACAGTGATAAAAATGGTGAAACAAAATGTTTTTATGAAGAACTTGAACAACAACTAAATCAACTGGGCTACAAAAAGATCATCATAGATCTAAAATGAAGAAAACTAGGATCAAATGGTAATGTCTTTGGAGATAGTACCAGTGTCTAACTAGCCATCCATATTTAAAGCAAGCAATATATTTTTGTTTCAAAGAAGGAAAATTGGTATGTGCTATAGCTTTCCCCTGATTTGCCCCCTCTAGTACAGGTAGTCCTCGGGTTACGACCCTAGTTGGGACTGGAATTTCTGTCACTAAGTGAAGCGGTCATTAAGCAAAACATCACATGACCAAGCTGCTCAGCATCAGCAGTTCCTACAGTCCTGGTTGCGGTCATTAGGCCAGGACCTCACGCTTCCCCTGTTCTGCGTGAACTGCCTCTATGTCAACTCCCCCACCTGTCTATTTCCCCCCATCTCTGCCCTTTTGGCCGCTCTGCACCCCGCCACCTAGCCTTGCCGCCCCCCCCAGCTGACCTTTGCCATCTTCCTCTTGCTGCTGGCCTGGGATCCAGGTGCTGTCAAAGGGAGCTTGCTGGGCCTGGCTGGGGAGGAGGCAATGGGATGGAGCTGGTGGAAAAGGTAGGGTGGCAGTGCAGGTAGAGGAGCCCCATCTTCTGCCACTGGTGCAAGGAGAGATAGCCCACAGACAGTGGAGATTTCAGCAGGATTGGATGGCAAGGCACAGCGCCATTGTGGGTGAGGCAGGAGAGGCGGTGGCTGGTTCTCCAGGAGTGCTTTCAACAGAAGAAGTGGAGGGACAAGGGCTTCCTGGAGGTGCAGTGCCTGTTCTGCAGTTGGATTGGAAGTTCTCCTGGAGAACCGGCGTGCAGGCTTCAGCAAGGGGTGGAGGTGGGCCCAATGCTGACAGCATCTACCCACAGATCCTCTGCTCATTCAGCCCAGCCTTTCTCCTGCAAGACCTTGTGAAGCATCCCTCCTTGCTATACTAAAAGATATAGTAAGTTAGGAAAACACCAAAACTATATAACTGTTCATGTACACGTGATCTCCAATTATGTTCCCAAATTGAGTTAAAAATCACCTTTTGTTTTAAGGCCTACATGAGCATGAAAAGTTCTGCAGTTAAAACATGGTTAATTCTGAAATAAAAATAAGTTTCACCTTGATTGCTGTCATGCATTTTGTCTCAATCGGAAAGAAAGGAAGCTCTTCATTCTTCTTCAGAGTCTTATAAATCTTTTTAAAATTAATCAAGTCATGTGGCCCAATCAGTAGCAAGCTCAGGCCCTCATTGGCAGCTCTGGCAGTCCTGCCACTTCTGTGAACATAAAGCTCGGAAGTACGGGGAACCTGGAACAACACAAGAGATGCAACAGTTCCACAGAGGACAAAACATATATAAAGAGACAACTCTGTAGAACCCTCTCTAGTAGGCTTGTATTACACTGTTCCAATGTGACAGCTTGCGTAAATTCAGAGAGATGGAGAACACTCAAGATCAAAACTTCTGACCTTGTAGAACTTCTCTACAGTTCTATGCAAGCATTGAAAAAAATCACAGAATTTGACGCTATGGTACCAGTGTCTAGAATGACATAGACCACTTTCTTTTCAGGAAGATCTGTTTCTGGAAAATTGCTGGACCACTCCTGGAATGGCCACATTGGGGTGGACTAGGGAAAGAACAGGTCAACCTAGTATGAAGCCCTTCTTTCCTTATTAAGAGGGGAAGCTGTATTATGCCAATGGAAAGGAATGAATGGAAAGGGCAAGGGAGTACAAAGTGGCTAAGTCTATCACCTGAAGATGCTTGAACCTTTAAAAGACATGTATGCAAAGAGAAAACGCTATGGGCTGTAACATCAGCCTTCATTATGCCTGTCCCCCTGTGTGGCAATGCCTCTACTCTTAGCGATGCATAAGAAATTTCTCCTCTGTCAAAGAATGGTCTAGCTTATGTATCAAATTATCTTCCTTTTGCCATGTTAAAACCAATGAAGAGGCCATAAAACCCATCTGGCCTTTTAAAAAATGCATAAAATATAACCTGCAAGCAATAGCTGGATAGATACACATTTTGTTTTGGTACCTGGTAATGTATGACATGCTGTACATAAGGAATATCAAGACCACGAGCAGCTACATCTGTTGTCAACAGGGCACAGCTGAAATTGCAGAAGGACAGCAGCAGTTTATTAAGCAGAACAGGGGAAATAACCTCTCTACAAAGTTCTCATCTGTACTCTACCAGATGGCCAGGTGGGTTAACCCAGCAAAATAGAATCTGTGAATACGTCACAATGAAGATAAAGAAATTAAATTAGAACATAGTGGACCAAGACAAACAGAAGATAACCTAATAATATATGAACTGTTTTTAAAACCTTTGGCTGGATTTTTCTTAACATTTTGCATTAAGACTTATTTCCTTGCTCTTTGTGTTTCAATGCATATGCTAATTCCCAATATTGGGAGACAGAGTCTCCAGAGAGAAGTACTTCTCTTGGTCACATTTTCCATGCCATCTATGATTTTATATAATTCTGTCGTGATTTACTCTACCAACCTTCATGCTAAACTAAAAAATCCCAAATGTTATAATCACTCTTTTCAGGGAAGCAACAATACCTCCTTAATCATTTCCTTTTTGCATCCTTTGAATCATAACTAGACTCAAAGCAATAATGCCAAAAAAACCCTTTGTACCTTGGTCTCCCTCAACCAAGTATGGACTGGCAGCTGGATACTTGCTAGCTGTTCAAGGCTACAACTCCCATTCTCCCTAGCCACTATGCCTATTGATGAGAATTAGAAGTCAATGCATCTAGAGGCGACCATATTAGGAAAAGTTGACCTACCTTTTTACCCTGACCTATTTCACATTTTCCCCCACAATAAAGACAGGAGTAAACATGCACATTATCCGTAAACCTCCAAACAGTGACAACTTTCATTAGAAGTTATAAAAGCAGATAATCATAGACATGATAAAGAGAATCAAAGACAAAGGAATGACTAAATTAGAAGTCTTGCTGGGCACATGTTAGTACATCAGAAGGGGACAGATGCTTGGAATGGGAACTCTTAAAATAATAATAAATTAAAAAAAAAAACCCAGGGGAAAAAAGCCTGGATCCTGGTTTTCTTTTTTAAATTATTTTTCTAGTTTTTCCATTCCACTGCTATCACATGATGATATGATACCAGTGGAATGATACCTGAGAGTGTGTTGGATAAACAGGAAGGCTTGTATTTAGCAAATTAAAATACTTGTGAATAAATTAAAATTTCCTGCTCAACCCTGCAGTTCCTAATATCAAAACTACTCAAGACTATGAACATGAATTTCAAAGTACACGAAAAATACTGGGCCAGCTGAGGCAAGACCATAAAAAGGAAGATTCCCTGTCAGTTTACAGAATGGATTAAAAAAGTTTGCTGTCCTAACTAGAAGAAGCAGAAAAAAGACAAAGTGAATAAATCAGTTAATTGTGATTAAAGTATATAATTCATTCATACCAGATAATCCAGCTTTAAGAAGGTAAAGCCTTTTGTGAGTTAAGCTCAATTCCTGGTGACTACACAGGCACATCCATGTAGTTTCCTTAGCAACAGATCATAATTGGTTTTGCCACTGCCTCCTTCTGGGATGTTTTTCTACTTCCCAATCTAGCCCACAGCCAGGGTATTTCCTGGTGATCTCCCATCCAAGTGCTAACCAGATCTGATCAGCCAAGGTTGACTAGTGATTCTACTGAGCTGGATGAAGCCAGCATTACTTAAAGTAAAAAATAAGCTTTTTTTTTTTAAAAAAAAAGTAATATAAGGTTATACTCTCTCAGGAGTGATTCTATCTTCACTATAGATGAATTGTCAGAAACCTCTTTTTATTCCACTTAGTTCTTCTGTTTGTGAAGAATTCCTGAGCCATCTTGCTATCTAGTCTTTTACTCTGCACTTGCTTTTATTGGAGCTAACACAAAAGTGATCCATTGTGGACAATTCTCGGTTAGCAGAGAAAACCAGCACATAAACTAACGAAATTTAGATGCTGACCTGTTTCGTTCTGCAAACTTCTCCAGGTTTTTTAACCTTTGCTTCTGGTGCATGTTTGCATGAAGAGGCAGTGGATTGCAGTCCAAGATGGTCAAGAGTGCAGTGAGTCGCTTGATACAATCTATGCTGTTTGCAAAAACCATGGTTCTGCCTGGATACTGAAGCAGAAAATAATAGAGGTAGTAATCCTTCTCTTCTGTATCACAATGGATTCTGGTCTCTGTAAGAGTTTCCACAGTTGCCTCTTTTCTGGTCAAATCTATCACTTTGGGCTTGCCCTTGATGCCCACTTTTTGCATCAACATTTCCAGCTTAGTCTTTCTGTCAATTTTGATAGCATTTTTCTTCTGCAGAACTCTAGTGGGAGCTTGATGGATCAAAGTCAGGGTGGCAGAGAAGACAAACGTCTGACGTTTTTGGTTATGCTGTGTCTCACTCAACATTTCCAGCAACTGAGACAGCTCTAAGAAATGTCCCCTCTCCACCATCCGGTCTGCTTCATCAATCACCAGGCATCTGTTGAATGAATGCAAGACAGTTTGAAGGTTTTTACACAAGATATCTGGAAATGCAACATGCTTCAGAAAAGCCTATTTTCCTCTGCCATAGCAGCTACAGCAGGTCTTCAGCTTGATCCATCGGGGCATTTCCAATGTTATTGCACAGGTGATGCACTCACACTTACTCTGAAAATAGTATCATCCCTTCAGATTTTATGACTCTCTCTCTCTCTCCCTCTCCCTCCCTCTCTCATATATTACTGGACCTAACAGCACCTTTCAGATTGTAAGTGGGGTTATCCATTTTTTGCTGATATGACAACAAGTTAAGGGAATACCCTAGATAAGCCCAGACAAATAATAAGGCTATGTATGGTCACTGCTCCTTGGACAGATCTAATCAGGAGACAAGCTAAAGAAATCATGAAAAAAATCCTGCTTAAAAATCCTTTTCTGTTCACCTGAATCATACAGAGGGAGCTAGGAAGTATATTACATTAAGCTATGGTTTTTTAGTGGACTGGATTTATGCAATATACTATGCCATAAACCATGGTTTACAAACCATATTGGCTGAGTTCACACATTATGCTAAACAACAATCAGACAAATTGCATAATGTGTGACTCTAATTACAATTAAGGAATATTAGGACAGAATAATATTTAAGAGCCAAGGACAGTAATGGGGAACCTGTGGTTGCTGAACCAGCCAGCATGACCAATAATGAAAGACACTAATGTTATACTTGTGCACCTTGATACAGATAAGATTAGCACATCAGCTGTTACCCTTTCTGAGCAGATCAGATTTGGCAACAGTGATCCACACTTTAGGTGCCACCTGTTTTGATTACTATAATGCACCCCATATGGGTACCCCTTGGAACGGGAAGTTGCAATTGGTGCAAAATGCAGCAGCCGAAGTGCTAATAAGCATCATATGATAACCAAGTGCTTACTGGGCATAACTTAAGGTGTTATTGGCCTAAAGAGTTTAGGGTCTGATTATCAGAGGGATTGGTGCTTTTGCTATGAATCTCTCTGGCCATTAAGATCAAGAGCCAGTTTGGTCTAGTGGTTAAGGCACCAGACTAGAAAGCAGGACACTGTGAGTTGTAGTCCTGCCTTAGCCATGAAAGCTGGCTGGGTGACTTTAGGCCAGTCACTCTCCCTTAGCTCAACTCAATTCACAGGGATGTTGTTATGGGGAAAATAAGAGGAGGAAGGAGTATTAGATATGTTCACTACCTTGAGTTCTTTATAAAAATAATAAAGGTGGGATAAAAAAATCTAAAAAAAAAAGCAATAGCCCTTGTGAAGATGTCCTTGAAGTCAGGAAGCTTGAAGTATTTTTTTTTATTTTGCCCAGTTCAACAGAAATAATTTAACCTAAATCCTCCCAACCTTCAAGAAGGCAAAAAGATGTTTTCACAATCAAGGAGCAAGCAATTAAGCATTTTTTAAGATACAGAACTACTCCTGCAGCTGATATGAAATCACAGAAGGCCAATCACCTAGTTTGATTGCAATATTATTTGATAACATTAAAAAGCATCTCAATTATTAAAATGACAAGTTTGAATCTCAAGAAAAGTCTCAATGATTCTGCACAATCATATTTTTCTTAAGGCCTGGAAATATGTAAGTACATCAAGAGTGACAGTCTTGAAGAGGTCCTTGTAATACCTGAGCTGCCGTAGATTGGAGAGATGGGGCTGCTTCTCCTGGATTAGCTCCCACAGGCGCCCTGGAGTTGCGATAACCACCTCTGGCTTCCTCTTCAACATCCGCTGCTGCTTTTGAGGAGCCATTCCTCCAACAAGAATGGCTGTTTTAATACCTGCAACACAGAAATAGACCAAACATATAATGCTTTATCTATATTATATTCAACGCCATGGTATTTCTAGCAGAGAAGTAATGACATGCATAGCCACATTTGTGAGAAGGCACTGGGTGAAGGATAGGTAACTTTCTTGCAGCCAGCTCAACCTCTGAAGGATATGGGGCACGTAACTGGCGATGTCATCCTGTCTTTTATAGAAGCTTCGGGTACCCATTTTGCCCCATAACTTCTCCACAATGGGAAAAGTCAGACTCTCCTCACTATGTATCTGAAATTAGGGGATTTTGCCCCAATATACATCACTTCATACTTAAACTGAATTGCCTTTGCCATTTGTTTGACCATTCACCTCTTTTAAACAGATCTTTCTGGAAATCACTTTAGTATTACCTGCAAACTTGATCAGTTCACTGTTTACCTCTAAGTCAAGATTATTTAAGAAAAAGTTAAAAAGTAGGGGTCCCAACACAGGTCCTTGAGAAATTTAGCTTCTAATTTCCTCCACCAAGAAAGTGACCATTTATTTCTAATCTTTGCTTCCTTATTTTTAACCATTTAGCAATTCATAAAAGGGTAGATCCTCTAATCCTATGGTCATTAAAGTTACACAAGCGTCTTTGATGGAGAACTTTGTCAATGGCTTTTATCCAGGTATACAATGTTGAGAGGGTCAACATTGTTTCATTTATGTTCCTGCTGATATCCTCAGTAAAGATTAGTGAGGTAAAATTTACTTTTGCAGAATCTATACTGATTTTCTTTTAGCAAAGCTTCTTAATCTATGTAACTAGTAATCAGTTTCTACCAATCTGCCTGGAATAGACATTAAGCTGACTGGCCTATAATTTTGTAGGTATCCCATAGCCTTTTAAAATTCTATTTAGTTCTAGTTTGTTTCTGTGCTAGTGTAGTACAGCTGCTGTTGTACTAGAGTAGGTCTGGGTAAGTAGGAAATATATAAAGTTCAACTTATTGTTTTGTTAACTTATTCAAACTTACAATTAAAAAGCTACAATGATGTGCATGTTTAGAAGATTATTTGGCAGAAAATGTGACTCCTCTCAAGTCTTTATTTTAGAACATCACTGATCAGAGTTGAAAAACAGGGCACTGCCAATTTACTGCTACGTGTTTTTGAATATGTGATTAAAAAACACAGAATAATATTTCTTGGAGCAAGACAAGAGGTTCTAGATACTGTATTAACAGGCAGAATTCTTTATGGTGGTGGCCACTAGCATTCTTCTGCAACTACTTCTCATTACACTGCTCAAAAATGAATCAATGATGATAGCTCAATTGTAGGCCATAGTGCTTTTTCATATAAACTTGTAGGCAATTCTGGACTAATTGGAAAAATACCCTTACCTGGCATAAGGTGGTTTCCTATTGGCTTAATAAGGATCAAGCAGCTGTACTCAACTTTGTCATAGGAACAACAAATCCAAAGACCTATTACTAAATCTTAACATGGAATCAGAGATAGAAACTGAAAAGCCATACAAGCCCAACCCCTGTTAATGCAGAAAATCTTCTACACTATCCCTGATAACTGCTCATCCAACCCCTGTTTAAAATCACTCACAAAATAGAGGTCTCCACATTTGGGAGCAAACACAGCTTGCAGTGTCAGGAAGTTCCTCCTAATGTTTATTTAAATTGACTTTCTTGTAATTTAAATCCATTGTTTTACGTTCCATCTTTAAGAGCAGCAACAAAAAACAAATGCTTCATTAGCCATGAATAACCTCTCAAACCTAATGTATAGATATGCAGATTGCCTCCATGTCTCACTAAATTCATGAATAAATTAATAGCAATCATCTGTATTCTGAAGATGCTTTGTTTTTTGCTGGTCAGGGGCAGGAAAAGAATTCTGCAAGGAAGTAATATCTCACAACCAATACTGAAAGTTTTAGTTTGCTATCTTTCTGTTTCCAGAGTCTGAGAGAGAAAACTGATCAAATTCCAAGCATATATTTACAGCAAAGATTAGGAACTTTAAAAAACAAAGGACAGCGAGGATCCTCTCAGAAAGCTGGATTTGCATTCCGTATCATATTCTACACTTTTTCTGGAGGGAAGGAAAGAAGAGAGAGAGTTCTGCCGAAAAATTAAATATTGGGATAGCAAACCTGAAGCAGTATTCTTACATAGAACCAGTGGCAAAGCAAATAAAGGAAACCTCTCCTTTATATTTATCTTGGCATTATGTACAACATGACACTAGGAATAGACGTACCTGTGAACTTGGCCACTGCATCAATATGATGCTTTACTTGGACAGCCAGTTCCCTTGTAGGAGTCAAGACCAATCCCAGAAGAGGATTATTTTTATCTTCAACAGACTTCTGTTTTGGGGAACCCACAAAAAATCCTACATCCTCCGATACCTCTATGGAGTCTACTACCAGAGATTCATCATGATCTTCAGAAGCAGCAGCACTGGTTTCACCTGTGTCTGAATTTAGGCTTATTTTTTCACTTATGTCATGCTTTGCCATTTCATCTTCACTGTCCACTCTTTCTTCAAATGTGCGGTCACTTCCGGTTGTCATATTTTTTGATCTGTACCACTGTAGAATGGAATGGATCATTGGAATGGCAAAAGCAAGAGTCTTTCCACTCCCTAAAACACACAGACATCAATGTTAGAGATATGGAAGCTAGTTTATGCCCTAACACATTAATTGTCCCTCTAGGCCACAATTGCTACTGTAGAATTCACCCAAGGGATCTTTCTGATCTTTTTAGCTATTAAAGATATTATAACAGGATGTTATACACTTCTTTTTGACTACAATGAAGCATATCAGAGACGCTATCTTCCATTCTGGGGATCCCTCACTATTGTTTTCCAGCAGAGTACCAATTTACTATTTTAGCAAACAAAAAACAAGGGCTTATTTTTTTTTTAAAAAACCGCCCATATATATATTTTAAAATCTTTGATCTCTTTTATCTAAAAAGGAGTTCTACCTGATAACTCTGAGTATAAGATCAAGGGTAAACTGTATTCAATCAATTTCTCTTGATGTAATTTTCTCAGCAACACTAATGTCTAAACCATTTAACTCCTTTGCTAAGAAGAAAATTAAAATTTATGAGGGAAATATGGAATCCCGAAGCCTACATTTCCCAAATAATGCTGTTTAGGGAGGTGAGGTGGGAGAACTAAATGGTGTGTGTGTGTGTGTGTGTGTGTGTGTGTG